CCCCAAAACCCCAAAACCCCAAAACCCCAAAACCCCATGCTCATATTGATTTGATGGAAATTTTAATTAAATCAATTGTTAAACTCAATTATTTTCTCGTAGACATTCTCGATGAAGTTTTGTAGCTTCTTCGGTTTCTTGTATTACCAACTCCAGTCTAGTATAGATTCGCTTTCATCCATTGAATCTGGCATAGATTCCAAAATTTGTTTCATTTAGCGGTCTTGTTCTGATATTTCTGATGGAAGTAGGAACTAATGCCTGAACTTATAATTCATTCTATTTAACAGATATTTATAAAAATGAGATGGACTAACTTTCTTATGCCTTTAGCCACATCACCAAATGGATATGTTGCACCAGAAATGCTGTAGACTGTTTTATGCAATTTTTTCTCATTTGCCATTATCAAATTGAACTGTATCATCATTTTAAACACTTTTAATAATTACCATAGCATCAGTAGCATCTGTCATGCTTATCATTGGAAATTTAGTCTATTCAGCAATCCTAAGTGTTATAAAGTTTTTATGATAAGATTTCTAAAATAATGCTATATTCTAATTAGTGATAATCTAGACAAATATCATACGTACAACGAATAAGATCTTGAGGCATATGAAAATTTTCATTCTTGATATAATCAATAACAAATGGAATCTTCAAAACTCTCACATCCAATTAATTTTTTGTCCTGTAGTCATCACATATTTAATCTGCTTGTCTAAGTGTCTCCATATATCCCATTCTTCCTTCGAATGTGCTCAAAGTTACAATTGAACTTGGTTTAAACACTCTATGAAATATGATACTCTTACTGAGATAAATACTTTAGCTTGAGTTCAGAAGCTAAGTCTAAAACATTCTTCAATCCCTCTATGTTGACCTTTACCTGTTCTTCTGGTGGAGTTCTATCATTTTTCACAATGTTAAATGATCTATCTTGAGCGAAGTGAAGGATATGAGTAGGGTTCCACTCAAGAGTTTATTCTCTCATCATATTTCTATCACTCACATCAATATTAACGAATTTGCATCCAAGACTCCTCTCTGATTCAACTATATCAGATGCCAGCACATTCCTTGCTGAAAACTCAATATTCCTATAAATTTAAATGTTTTTTTTGAATCCTTTAACCATTGGTAACTATAATATTGATATGCACTTACAACTTTCTTATCAAATGATAAGCTAGATGACTGCTTGAACCTGTGATTAGAAATCTATGAGTAGGCTAATAATTTTTTTAATTAAATTCATACTTTTACGGCTTTCATTAATTTTATATAAATTTTTATTAAAGTTAATATCAGTTTTATTTAGAGATATCTTCAAACTTTTCTAGGCTCTAATATACAGTGCTATTATCAGTATACTCCAAAGAGTTCGCAGTTACTATAATTTTTTCTTTTCCATTCAGTATTTCCATAGTCTGATTCCTTGATTTAATAAGCTCATTCATCTATTACTTCTGGGATCTAACTTCTGTCTAAGCTTTTTCTAATCTGTTCAAACTACTATGATTCGTGACTGAGTATATTCCTTAATTTCTAGATTATTTATTTTTAAGTGGTTTAGAGGGAATATTTTTTTAAGTCTACTTCTGATTTTTAACTTGACTTGTTTAGCCTGTATTACCTATATACATAGATCTTATTTTGTGTAATCTAGTTTAACTATCTTCTAGTGTATTATGTCCATTGCTATGACATCTAGGCAAATTTTGCGGCTTTTCTTCAATTACAAATGAGGGTGTGCTGCTCGCACTAGCTTTTGCAAAAAGATTTTAATTCTTGTTTATTCTACTAAGATTAAGTCTAGCATTTGCTGAGTTACTGGAATCGTAGTTTTTCTTCAAATAAAGCTATTAGAACAAGACCTCATCGCTCTGTAAATTCTCCTTGTTTTTAATATTTTTAGTTTCCTATGATCTTTACAACTGCTATTAATTCTTGTTTCGACTGTCATCTCTACTTCCACCTTAAATGATAAGACTGTGCCTTGAAATAGATTATTTCATTTAATTATGAAGTTCACTCAGGAGTTTAGACATCTTTTAGGACTTAAGTTCGCTCTTTTAATTCTTAATTTCCTTGATATTTTCTTTTATCACTTACTACTTCAAAGCTCTATCCTTTTACTAATCTGTTACAAGTATATTTTATTATGGCTACTTTGATCTAAACGGATTGTTAGTAGAAACTTGACTAATTTCCGACTATTAATACTTTTTTAGTACTGAGTCGCTATAAATATCATACATTATTATTTGGATACTTACACTTAGAACTTATATACTCTTTCATATGAGTCAAGATTATTAAATAGACCAGTCTTCTTCTCATATTTCTTGGCTTCTCTAACAGGCTTGAAAGAACACTCCTTTAACCTTTCTTATTCAACAACAATCTTCTTTTATTCCAGCTTTTCCTATCTTTCCTTATGACCATTATACAGCTGCTCATGCCTTGTTTTTGAATTAGACTTACTCTAATCTTTAAATGTCTTATTAGTGCTATTCCTAGTCAATATTTTATTGCTTGGTTCTAAAGACTATCTTTGTGTAAGTGATATCTAAATTTTGTTATTTGCCTTCTTATTAGAGTGAACTTATTTCTCAATAATTGAGGCTGATTTGTCAAAACTTTCACTATATTCACAGAGGTTATTAGACAGATTGTTAGACAGTCTCATAGAGACGAAACTGTTGTTATTCAGTGATTAAGATCTATTCATCCCATTCTTTTGATTTTAACTAGAAGAAGCGATTCCTGATTTTAACAATGAAAACTTAGATTTCTAAAGCTTTTCAACTGAATTTATAAAAGAATTCCCGCTTGGTGTTTCTATTATCGAGTTAAGTTCTTTGAAGTCTTATTTTGGGTCAATTTAGTTTTATAGCTTTGACAATCTGGGTTAATTGATTTATGGTTAAAATGTACATTTTTGGAGTTCCTCAAGTTCCCTTTCTTGTTTTTGCTTAATGATCTTCTCTCTTTTCTTAACATTTTCATTGTAAAGCTTGTCAAATATGTCTTAGCCTTGAATATCTCCACTATTATGAGTAAAAGCAAACATATCAAGGGAAGAAGTAGCTCCTTTTTCATGATCAAATTTATTTGTCATGTCTTTGCTAGTCTATGATTGATAGAGCTATTTTGAAAGATCTTCATTGATAGTTAGTGGATTGTTGAAGAACTCTGTATTTTTCAATTTTAATCTGTCAGTAGAATTATAATTATCCTGATTCTAATGGTCAAGCATAGAAACTAATTTGAGGAACTTGTCAGTCTTTTAGGGAATATCTGAAGCCAAATGAGGGTTATTGAATTAACTCATGTTTGTTTTTTTTGGAGACACTTTTATTTCTTTATCATTCCAAGGCATTTAACTAATTTAAGTTGAGTTTTGATCTTTGAATATTGCTATTAACTTTGAGCCTAAAAAGTGAGTGTCTACATTCGACATGTTTCTTAAGAATTTTATCAAAATTTCGCTAATAAAATCGAATTCATTGTTCATTGGATAGGGTATAACTAAGTTATTCAGAATGTTAATAAGAACTTGACTTTCTTCAGAGACATATTACTATGTAAAGTAAACAAATTAGTATATATAAGTACCTCGGTTGTAAGGAAATTAACGAATCGTTTAAAGTAAGTTAAGTTGCCCTGCATTTTAATTATAAGATAATTATACGTTGAATTCATTCTAGTCCTTCAATCTATATATTTAGACTCATGGGGTTTTGGGGTTTTGGGGTTTTGGGGTTTTGGGGTTTTGGGG